CAGGGTATTGCTATTGATGTTGTAGTGGGTAAGGGAAACAATGGTCAGGGGAATAGGGGATGTCTATTGATGTTCTAGTGGGTATGGGGAACAATGGTTGGGGAAACAGGGATCTGCTAATGATGTTCTACGGGGTTGTCAAAGTCAGAAAATGTTTGTTCAGGGTGCGAAAGCTGGTGTGTCCAAAGGAGTCGGAAGCAGAATCTCATGTAGGAACAAAGTGTCCAAGTGTCTTGAAAGGGGGTCTGCAGCGGACTTGAACAGGTCTTTGGAGTAGGTGGTAGAAGCGGTCTTCAGCAGCTGCGATAGGTAGAAGTCCAAGAAGCGTAGTAGTAGTTCAAGTGTCAAAGTCCAAGTGCTAGGGTGCGTCCGGTACACGAACTGCAATGAGGTCTGATCTGGAAGCAAGGAAGTCGCAGACTGATGCACAGATCCATGTCACAAGTTGCTGCTTCAGTAAGTCCGCGAGTCGGGGATGCCGGCCAATGAAACAGCATGGTGGCCAAACCAGCTGCATAATCTCCATGAACAGTGAGGCAGCAGACCATCGTCCTCGTGCGCTTGCCATTAGATCCTTTATCGCCGGCGTCACGCAAGTTCACAAGCATTGGACAAGAGAGACAAGGTAGTGGAGAGGACAGATGGGACAAGGCTAGGCGAGGGCAAGGGCAGATCAGACATCAGGAATGAGRRTCARKSGAAGGGTGGACTGGGTTCAAGGGTGTGTGTAGAGCAGGGTTGCAAGGGTTTTTAGCGGGGGTTTATGCCATAGTGATATAGGTATCTAGGACATAGGATTAGCACGATCATAGGCACGGACAAGTTTCACGGCGTTCTTAAGATTAGAGACAGGTTCCCATGTAGATTCTTCGTCGAGGTATCCGGTCCATTTGACTTTGTATTCAGTGATTGGTTCCGGATGATCAGAAACCTGAGTGGTTCGTCGGCCGATGATGGTTTCGACATTGTTGCTATCCATTCATTAAGAGAGGGGCAGGGGGTGGAGGGGCTGAGYTGCGAGGGAAGCAAGAAATCAGAGGGCAAGCGGGGATGGTAGCCAAGGTCGAGGTAGAAAGGGGACATGCCAGTGGAGGGGCAGACAACATTGTTGTAGGCAATTTCGGCGRCTGTGAGCAACTGATCCAAATCGTGTTGGTGTGGATGACAATACTTCCGCAGGATTCTTTGGAGTGTATCGTTCATCTTCTCTGTTTGTCCATCGGTCTGTGGGTGGAATGCAGTGCTATGCTTAAGTGTGGTTCTGTAGGCCGTGAAGAGGTGTTTCCAGAATTGTGAGAGGAAGCGAGGATCACGGTCACTGATGATGTTCTCGGGGAGGCCGTTATGGCGAGCAACATGGTCGAAGAATAGTGTGGCGACGTCTTTGGCACTGTGCGAGGTCGTGCAAGGGATGAAGTGGGCACGTTTGGTCAAGCGGCAGACAATGACGTAGATGCAATCATGCCCGCGGTCGGTCTTGGGGAGGCCGCACACGAAGTCCATGGAGATGGACTGCCACCGGTGAGTTGGGATGGGCAATGATTGGAGTTTGCCGGGTTTGGCCCGGTTTGAGGGGTTGCCAGCTTGACACGTGGGGCACGAGCGAATGTATGCCTTAACGTCGACGAGTAGGGAAGACCAGTAGAAGCAGCGGGAGATGGTGTCGAAGGTCTTCTGGAAACCGAGATGTCCTGCGGTCTTGGCATCGTGGTGCTCGGCCAAGAGCTGAGTACGGMGGHCTCGTGCGTYGGGGAYGCAAAGTCGGCGAGTGCCTTTGGTAWYGATGTAGAGGAGATTGTTGTGAAGGGAGTAGTCGGGAACTGAGTCAAGATCGCGGAGCTTGTTGTAAATGGTGGCGAAGTCTGAGCAGGAGAGATAGCCTTGGGTGTATCGRTGATGAAGTGATGGAAGGAGTTGAATATGAGTCATGGTGGCGTAGACTTTCTCAGGGGGCTTGTGGTCGGGTCGTCGCGAGAGGGCATCGGCAACGCGGTTGCTTTTGCCGAAGGTATGGCAAATGGTGAATGTGAACTGGGCAAGGAAGTCTAGCCAGCGGGCTTGGCGTGGAGTGATATCTTTCTTGGAGAGGATGGAGGCGACAATGGTGTTGTCAGTGCGGATGGTGAAGTACTGCCCGTCGAGGTACGGGCGCCAGACTGTGAGAGCGTGGATCACGGCGAGGAGTTCCTTCTCGTTGGAGGGGTAATTCATCTCCGCGGGAAGGAGCTTCTTGCTTGCGAAGGCGATAGGGTATTCGCCAGGTGGAGCCTCGGGGTGAGTGGGCGAGTCCTTGATGGAGGGGGTCTCGGCGGTGTCGCGGGGGAAATGTTGGGACAGTACGGCTCCRATGGCGAAGTCGGAGGCGTCAGTGGTGACATAGAAATGGCGAGTGGGGTCGGCGATCTTGAGGACAGGGGCCGTGGTGATGGTTTGCTTGAGTAAGTTAAAGGCTTGTTGGCGGCGATCGTTCCAATAGAAAGGCTCATCCTTGCGGGTGAGTTCGTGGAGAGGGTAAGAGATCTCGGAAAAGTTGCGAATGAATGGGCGGTAATAGTTGGCAAGGCCAAGGAAGGAACGGAGTTGGAGGAGGGTCTTGGGTGGGGGGTACTCGACGAGGGCTGTGACCTTCGAGGGGTCCATACGGATGCCTTTAGCGGAGACAATATGGCCGAGGTATTCGACGCTCGAAGCGGCAAACGTACATTTGCTGAGCTTGGCGTAAAATTTTTGCTCTCGGAGGATCGCGAGGACTTGGCCGAGGTGCTGAAGGTGGGACTCGAAGGTGGGGCTGAAGACAAGGATGTCATCAAGGTAGACAACGACACAGACTTCGAGGAGGTTGTGGAAGATGTGGTTCATGGTGGATTGGAAGGTAGCGGGGGCATCGGTGAGTCCGAATGGCATCACGAGGAACTCGTAGTGCCCGAACCGAGAGCGGAAGGCGGTCTTGTGAGTGTCCTCCTCGCGAATACGGATCTGGTGGAAGCCACTACGAAGGTCGATCTTGGTAAAGTACTTGGCTCCACGGAGACGATCAAGGAGCTCGGAAATCCGAGGTAGGGGGTACTTGTTCTTGATCGTGATCC